TGGAATTGATGTTTCTGTGTCCTTTGGGTAAATACCTAGGAGTGGAATTGCTGGATCATATGGAAGCTCTATGTTTAGTAGGTCCAGAAATCTCCACACAGCTCTCCATAGTGGTTGGACCAGTTTGCACTCCCACCAACAGTGCACAAGAGTTCCTTTTTCTCCACATCCTCGCCAACATTTGTTGTTGCTAGTTTTTTTAATATGTGCCATTCTCACTGGTGTGAGATGGTATCTCATGGTAGTTTTGATTTGCATTTCCCTGATTACAAGTGATGTTGAACATTTTTTCATATGTCTGTTGGCCATTTGCATTTCCTCTTCAGAGAAGTTTCTTTTTAGCTCTTTTGCCCATTTTTTGACTGGATTATTTTCTTTGTTGTTGCTGAGTCTCATCAGCTCTTTGCAGATTTTTGTGATCAGTCCTTTATCATTACTGTTGGGTGCAAAAATGTTCTCCCAGTTGGTGGGGTCATGTTCTTTATGATAACTCAAAAGAATCTACATGAAATGTTGATTGGAAAAGGAAAATGTGGATATCACAAAACTTGATTCATTTCTCATGTATTTAGCATTCATTGACTATTCTAGGCACTGTGATTTCAGAGATGGAAAGATCTGATCCCCATCTTTAAAGAACTGAGGGTCAAGTGGAGGGACAGCCAGGCAAATAAAAACCTGATAAATGCTGAAACAGGACTGTGTATTAGAAATCTGGAAATGTAAGAAAATAATTACCTAACTCTGCCTGGGTACGGCCGGATAAGGGACAATGAAAACCCAGGAGAAGGGCAGAAAGGGCAGAAGACAATAGTCTCTAAGATGACCCAGAGGAGTGGAAGCAGGCCTGGCACACGTGGTGTGAAGGAAGCATAGAGGAAGATGAGACTGGATGGGCAGGAGAAAATGATCTTGCAAAGGGACTTCTGTGCTCTGCTAGAATTGAAAAGACTCTAAGTATAGGCAGCCCTTGAAAGATTCTAAACAAGGAGATGACCTTTATGTATTGGCAGAAGAGGCAGGAATCACTGATTCAAAGTCCATGGAGTAATCTACACTAGCAATGTTGAGACCCTCCTCTAGAGGAGTAGATAAGTTTGGGTTCTTCATGAAGAGAAGGTTAATCTTTCAAATATGTGGAAAATACTGGCCATAAGAGTATCCAGAAGCATGTATGTTAGAATTATTGAAATAAAAATAAAATCCCAAATTAAGATACTGACAGTAATGAGAAAATAATATTATACAAAATATATTTCATTATTATTACGTAATTTTTATTGACATAACACTGATTTACAACACTCTGCATGGCTTTGGGGTACAGGTTCACACCTCTTCAAATGTATTGTTACCACACCACACCCAAAACCAAGGCATAGATCATCATCATCATCATAGGGTATCAGGCCCCCCCTTCTTTGTTCTACCCACCTCACTCTCCCCTCCAATTGCCTCAATTCTACAATCAGATTTCTAGAGATTATTTTATTTTAGTTTTATCAAGTTTTATACAAGATACATGATTCATGAGTCATCCTGAAAAGACTTAGCAGTTTACCAAACTTGAGACAGTGGGGAGTTGTGAGTCAAAGACTGCTTTTAGATCCTGAGCCTGGGGAACTATAAACATTATGATCCTATTCATAGAAATAATGGCAATGAGGAAGAGAAGATGATTAACTCAATTTTGGAAATGAGGAGTCAATGAGGCATCCTTGGGAATGAGAATATCCATTCAGTGAGGAAATTCGTCACTGGAGACTGAAAAAAACTACAGAAGATTTGAGAAGATACATGTTGAGGTCATATTAAAGAAGCACTGGAAGTGAATAAGGGAAAGAATGAGACTAGAAATGACAGGTTTAAGGCAGAACTATGGGGAACTATATATGTGGAATGCGGAAGAAGGCAAAGGAGCTAAGAGGAGCTGAAGAAATAAGAAGCTAAGGACAAAGTTCCATCCAAATTGAGAGCAATTTCAGAAAAGAAGGGCTGGTCCCCAAAAAACAGTTGAGTGGAGCTGCAGAGGGGTTGGAGCTGATGAGGCTATTGACTGGCAATCAGGAAGTCATCAGTGACAGGATACCCAGTCAAGGGTGAAGGACATTGTAAGCATTTTCAGAATTAGTACAATCTATCGAGAGAGGTCAGAGGAGGAGAGGAGTGACTAAGAAAGTTGGGAATAGCAGCAAGAGAGAAGTTTTAAGGCAGAAAATCACAGAGGGAGTAGAAAAGAACAGTATCAAAAATACTAAAAGGAAGCATTTGCTTGAAGTGCAAGGAAAGATACAGCCTCCCGAAGCAAGAAGAAATGGTGGAGAGAATAGAAAACAATAGAGAAATTGAGATTGGGAGGTATGTTGTATCAGGAACTCTCACCATTGGTTGCTTCTTTTCAGTCTTGTAGGAAATAGTTTGACCCTGATAAGGGTAGAAGTGTGTGAGACAGATCCTGCGAGGGATTAAATAGGTGCAAAAATATTACACAAGAGGGCCTCCCTGGTGGTGCAAAGGGTAAAGACGCAACCTATAAAGCTATCCGCAGCCACTGCAGCAGGAGTTCGATCCCCAGGTGGCCAGGGAGGAACCCACATGGCACAGCAGACATCTCCTGTTTCTCCCACTGCTCCCCTCAGTGGATCTGCCTGTTCTGTTCTCTACTCTGTCTCTGGTGAATCCTCTCACCACCCCCACCTCTGGCCTTTATCCTGGTTCTTGTATGCATAAATAAATAAATCTTTTAAAAAAATTACACAAGATTCTAGGGCCCCAGAGAGAATAATGTGAATTAGTTCGCCTTCATCTAGCACCCTTCATCAACTTAGAAATAGCAAGAGAGCTGGCCAGGCATTATCAAAGAGTATAGAGTATTGGAGCAGAGAAAGTCCCATGAGGTTGAAGAGTCTCTTATACGAGCAGATGTAGCATTGAAATGGTCACCACAGTCTAAATGGAGGATCAGAAGAAAGGATGACACTTAGAGGCAAAGGGCAAAGATAATGGCTTGGAAACTACTCCCAGGGGAAGGGCTCTCAGGTTTCCCACTCCTTCCTCAGTGTCTGCAGTGGCTCTGTTTTTATCTGGAATACAAAGGCATCTCTTATATGCTTTCACATGAAGAGGGGAGAGATTTGTTACTTAAAATGTTGTTTGAAAACCAAGGGCCTCCCTGGTGGCGCAAGGGCTTAAGACACAGCACTATGAAGCTATCCACAGCCACTGCAGCACGAGTACCATCCCCAGCCGGCCAGGGAGATGACCCTCATGGTGCAGCAGACCTCTCCTGACTCGCCCACTGATCCTCTCAGCAGTATACTTCAGTCAATTCACTTGTTCTCTTCCCCACTCTGTCTCTGGTAACTCCTGTCAACCCCCATACCTCTGGCCTGAACCCCAGTTCTTGTATGCATTAATAAATAACTCTTTAAAAAATAAATAAATAAATTGTTGCTTGAAAACCACTAGATTGGGAGCTAAACGAGAGGAAATAGGTCCAAAAGTCATAAAGAAGAGAAGAGAGGAACTGGGCAAGATGGCTAAAGGATACGGAATCATCAAGGTGAATTCAGACATTGAGATCCTGGAGTTCTACCCATTTTAAAGGAAGATGGCATCCAACATTGCTGGCTGGAAGTTGAAGTGTGGGGTAGCATTCTAGATATCAACTGAGAGCTGAAGAACCATGAAGCCAGTGTTAGAAGATTGTCAAAATGCTGAGGACAAGAAAACCCTACAGGTAGAAGAAGTAAAGAGTCAAGTACTGAAATCAGTGAAGAAATAGGTAATTTTGAAAAGATAGAAAACTGCTATGGAGTTGACGATGAGGCAAAGCAGAAGTATAGAATTGGAACTTTAAGTAGGAGTTGTTGACATAGAGGGAACAGGGAGTATTATAAGTGCTTCGCTCACCTTGTCTCTTGCAGGGAGAGTAAAAGAAAATGACTTCTGGTTGGAGAGATTTTGAGGCATAGGGTATCATCAGGTTTCAACTGAAGTAGGTGGGCCAGAATACCCATATTGGGGGGGAAGTAAAAGTATAGTTTAAGAGCCCGCAGGCAGCGAGCTTGCTCACAGGAGATCTATGGGTGCATGGATCCCAGGAGAGGCAGAGCTGAGGGAAAGGCACCCAGAAGGAGAGCAGCCCTATCCTGACTTGGGCTGGGGATGCAACAAGGTAGAGATGTGTGCCAGGGGGTTCAATGGACACCAGAAAAGTGAGTGAAATAGAAGCTGAGAAAGAATAGGGCTGAAGAGACCACAGTGCGGGAAAGCAAGAATGTAGAGTTAAATGACTCCATCTTGCCAAGTCAGTGCTGGATTTAACCCAGATAACTAGCACCTCACCGCTCCAGACCAAGCCTTATGAGGTTTCTTCAAAACTAGAGGTCAGTTTGTAAAAAGTTTAAACCATAAATGCCAATCACTTTACATGGGAAAACAAAAACATTAAACCAGACCTCTTTTTCCTAGCTAGCAAAGAGATAATGACTTATGACTTAACCCAGGTCACCAGCTGCTTGCTTAGTGGTAGACCCAGGGCCAGAACCCAGGTACCCTGAGCCCAAGGTCATCTCCTTCCCACTGTCCCACAACTGTCCCCCACACAGCGGGGTAGTTATAGGGAGGGAGCCACACTGTACTATGACTGAATAATTACAAATATTAGGAGGTTTCTATATCTTATTCAACTCTGACTAAACTTTTTGCTAAAAGACCCAAATATAACCTCCCATCATGCCAGTGAGCTCCTTTTCAAGGACATGATCTGTTTTAGAAATGCTACCATTTCTGGGCCTCCCCGGTGGCGCAGTGGTTGAGGCGCTGGGTTGCGAGGCTGCCGGCAGTCTCTGTAGCGCCAGTTCGATCCCCGGCCACCGGCGAGGGTCCCACAAAAAAAAAAAAAAAAAAACCCTAAAAAAAGAAAGAAGGAAATGCTACTATTTCTGGTATGTACTTCTCCCTAAAGTCAGTCTTCTCCTTGTTTCTTGTTCCTCTAGTGTCTTTAGCCTCCAGCACGGTGGGCCTGGCCGGGCAGGTTGTTCACACAGAAACCACGGAGGTGGTGCTGACAGCAGACCCTGTCACAGGGTTTGGAATCCAGCTGCAGGGAAGTGTGTTTGCCACAGAGACTCTCTCTTCACCACCTCTGATTTCCTATATTGAAGCTGACAGCCCTGCTGAGAGGTGAGACAGTTTCTCTCCCAGCTGCTTTTTCTGCTCTGCATCTCTGGCAATCTTTGAATAGCTAATAAATTATTGAAGAGTCCTCAGTGCAGGAAATGCAAGACATAAACTGTTCTGATAATAAAATGTTATGTTCTTGACCAGGTTTGAGAAGAATAAGAGCAAGGATGCCTTTATCCAGCAGATTTTTGTCCATCAGGGGCTGGAGGCTATATTAATTAAAAAAGAAAAAAATCCATAAAAAATTATCTGAAGTTCAGACTTTAATAATTTCTCTGCCATGGGGGAATGTACATTCATCACTACTACATATTGGTTCAGATCAGATTATAACAATACCATGGTGCTGAATTATTAATTAATTCTCTGGGCTACATCAAGCTTCCCCTGCTCACATTAGTAGCCCTGAAATGCAAGAGAGCAAGGCATTGTATTTGCCCACAGCGTTGAATAACAAGACTAAATGGTAATGCTATTTGGCAAGAATCAGAGGTAGATTTTGCAATTTAAGTTGAAAATAATTTACTCTCTCTCTCTACAACCTCTAACATATGATTCTAAATTTAGATGTGGGGTACTGCAGATTGGAGACAGAGTGATGGCTATTAATGGAATTCCAACTGAAGACAGCACCTTCGAGGAAGCCAATCAGCTCCTCCGAGACTCTTCAATCACGAGCAAGGTCACCCTGGAAATCGAGTTTGATGTTGCAGGTATGATCGCATAATCTGCATCAGCACAGTCAGGAGTGGGCTGCCTGTGAATTATATGGGTGATGTGGCAGAGGGGGAGCTCTTTTTTGATATACTGAATATGTCTTTGTTTAGGAGGTTTAGGATGTCATTTTGAATTGAACATTGTTTTTGTATTATTCATTAAAATGTCACTACAAGAACAATTGAAAATAAATGTGACAAAATGAATAAGTAATGGCTGCTATAAAGGTGATAAAAAAAATCGTGTAGCCTTTACTCTTCCTGACTTTCTCCTATATGCTAGAGAAACCATATTCTTCAGTCCCAGGGACAAGAAGACCCTGTCTTTGACCCTTCCCACTGCATAGAATACATGAAAATTCTGTAGAGAACAATGAAAATTCATTAGGTGGATTTATATAAGCCCAGTAGGTAAGTATTTAGTGTCTAGTGATAAAGAGAAATCGCACTAGACACTTGTTAAAATGACAAGGAAGTCTTTTTTTTATTAAAGACTATTTCAATAGACATCAAGACTTGGAAAGGGAAGGGAGGTGGAACTCAACTTCAAAACCAGCAGGTGCAGGTGTATGACTTTAGTGATTGGAGGAGTCCTTGTCAATACCTAACAGGTGTGTGGATTTTAGTTGATGCTAATTCCCATTTAACCAAGTTGCCTTCATTTAGCAGAATATTATCTTACAAACCCAATGACCTTTGTTGATCAGTAAAGATAAGCTTTGGGGGGGCCTTCCCAGTGGCGCAGCAGTTGAGCGCTGGGCTACAAAGCTGTCCACAGCCTCTGCAATGCCGGTTTGATCCCTGGCCGCCAGCAAAGGTCCCACAAGGTGCGACAGACCTCTCCTGCCGGTCCCACTGCTCCCCTCAGCAATGTGTTTCGTCAGTCTGACTGTTCTGTTCCCGCTCTGGCTCTGGTGAATTCTCTTACCCTCCTGCACTTCTGACTGTACCCCGTGCTTGCATAAATAAATAAATAAATCTTTAAAAATAATAATAAAATAAAGATAAGCTTTGGGACATAGGGATCAGTGTCCCAAGAAAGACTTGCTGAGAGTTTACAATAAGCCAGTCGCTCTTCTGTGCAATGAGGATATAGACAGGAAAGAAGAAAAAAAATCCTTGTCTTCATGAAACTTGTATTACAGTCATACAGAGAGCTGATTTAACTTAACAAATATAAATGTAGACAGTAGTAAGTGCTCTGGGTAAAATTAAGCAGAATGGGAATTATAGAATTACTGTGGGAAACTGTTTTTGTAGGGTGATTCTCTAAGGCAGAAACATGTAAGCAGATATTTATTTATTTATTTATTTATTTATTTATTTATTTATTTATTTTAAAGATTTATTTATTTATTTATACAAGAACCTGGGTACAGACCAGATGTGCGGGAGGGTGAGAGGATTCACCAGAGACAGAGTTGGGAACAGAACAGGCAGAAATATACTGCTGAGGGGAGCAGCGGGCGAGACAGGAGAGGTCTGCCGCGCCATGTGGGACCCTCGCCCGCCGGCCGGGATCGAACTGGTGCTGCAGAGGCTGCGGACAGCTTCACAGCGCAGCGCTCAACCACCTGCGCCACCAGGGGAGGCCCTGTAAGCAGATATTTAAAGATTGAGAAGGAGCCAGACATCTTAGAGTCTGAAAGAAGAATTCCAGCTGTAGGGAACAGCTATTGTAAGATATGAGCTAGAGTAAGTGTGGGAGATATGAGACACATTCTTGCTGGAGTGTGTATGGGACTTGGAGGTGGGGACAGATTTGGGTTTGGAGCTGGGGTGGGAGAGATTGGAAGCAGCCAAGTAATGCAGTAATGCGCTTTCCCAAGTGCCTTGGGAAAGAATTTAGATTATATTCCAAGTGTAATGAATCACGAAGCATTTTATGGAGGGAAGTGAGATAACCTGATGAATGTTTTGAAATATAAGGAGATAGTAGAAAAAAGGAAAAAAAAAACCAATTAGGAGATTGTGGCAGTTGGAATAGGTAAGGAATGTTAGCGACTTGGACAAAGTGGCACTGTTAGAGATAGTAACAAATAGTGAAGTTAGAACCTGGGTTGAATCAGGACTAACAGCTAGTCTATGGATTTGATATTAAAGATGAAAGACAGGGACGATCATGGATGAATCCTATGGTGTAATGTTGAACAATTAACGGTGATATCTCCAACTGAGAAGATTTGAAATGGAAATTTGGGGATAACAAAAAGAATTCTATTTTAGACATGAGTAGGCAAATCCACTGCAATACTAGGAAGAAAGGACAAGCATATTCATTCCTTAGTTCAAAAGACCATTAAGGAGCAGCAGTTACTAAGTGCTAGGCTCTGTGCTATGTTCAGATCATTTAAAGAGAAAATAGAAAAGATCAGTATCTTCAAGGAGCTCATCCAATTAGATAAAGGCAAGAACTGCTAAAAGATAAGAATAGACTTGCTAAATGTGTGTTAGCACTAAAATGCAGAAGGAAATGCCCAGGAGACTGCAGGCAATACCTCCTGCAGCCTAGGATTGGGGGTATGTGCTAGGGAGCAGGACTGAGGCGGAACCACCCTGTCGGTGATTGTTAAAGTCCTTGGAATAAAGGAGGCCAATAGGGAAAGAGTTGGGGGAGCAAAGGGACTGAGGAGGTGCCCCGGCCTGAGAAGTACTAAGATTGAAAGAGAAAGGGCGCTAACAAAGGGATAGAGGAGATGCACTGAGAAGTGGGAAAATCAAAACAGGTGGCATTTTGGAAGCCAAAGAAAGAGTTTCAAGGCAAAAGTCACTATCAGTAGTGTCGCAGAAAACTCAAGTGAGCAAGCGAGGCAAGAAACGTCCATTGGATTTGACAATTGGCAGTTAGGAAGAGGGAGATTAGAGGAGTTTCAATGAATTGGGGGCCAGAAGTCACACTGCAGTGAGAGGAGTTTCAAGGACTTGGAGGCCAGAAGTCACATTGCAGTGAGCTGAGGACGAGGGAGGGGGTGGAGGCATACAGACCAGCTAGGTTTATTGTCTGCTGAGAAATTGGATTTTGGAGGAGGATTTTCCAGGATACAATGTAATGAATGAGTAAAAAGGGCTGGGGCTCTGTGGGCTTTTTAGAACCTCTGTGGGCATTTGGTTATATATGGGGTGCCTGACTTTATATTGCCTCATCCTCTAATTACTGGTTTTTCAGCCAAGGTCAATTTTGCCCCAGTGGCATTGGCAATGTCAAGAATTTTGCTGTGGATGAAAGGAGATGGACCAACAAATAGAGAGGTATTTGGAGTTCAGAGGGATGTTATTTTGTTATTTTGTTAAGATTAGAGAGATGCATAAATGAAATGAATGAGAGAGAAAAGACATAATTGTGTAACTGGGTCCCAAAAGAAATGAGAGGGGAAGTTATCTAGATAACTCGTCTAAGACAGAAAGTAGAAAATATCTCTGAGTTTGAAAAGAAGGATGTAAGAATATAGAAAATTTTCAGCTGTGTTTAGAAATGTTGTATAAATGCTGTCAAGCCAGGGTGAAAGAAAGGGTCAACATTTAGGGGGTTTAAAAGAATACTGAAGGTTTAGAACAAGGACTGAGGAGAAATGAGTGAGGAAATACATGTAAAGGGATACATGTAAAGGGATTTTCAAACTGGTGTTGGACCAAGCAGAGTCCCAAAGTCCCAAGCAGAGTCTCTAAGTTTATAGCAGTGTCGACCTGCTGGTCAAGTTGATTTTTGCCAGGATTCCTCGGTTGCTAGCCAGAGCAGAGACAGTAGATGATAGCTGAAGTCAGAGGCTGAGCTTTCCAAAAAACATTCAACAGGAGAGCTTAAGTCACAGAGGTTCAAATTGTTGCACAGATTGAATAATTATGATAATAGCATAAAATTATCATGATACTATCTATTAAATGCTTACTCTAAAGCATGTCACTTTTCTAAGCACCATGTGAGCATCAGCTCACTTAACCCTTATAACAGGTTACTATAATGGTGGCCCCAGAAAACTGAGGCCCAAGGAGTTAATTGTCGGACTCGCATTTTAACCCAGGCAGTCTAGCTCCAATCTAGACCAACAGTCTAACCACTGCTCCTATGCTGCCGTGTTTGAAAGAATCTAGAATCTGAGGGGACTCCCTGGTGGTGCAGCGGGTTAAGTGCAACACTGTGAAGCTGTCCACAGCCTCTGCAGTGCGGGTTAGATTCCCGGCTGGCCAGGGAGCTACCCACATAGCACAGCAGACCTCTCCTGTCTCACCCGCTGCTCCCCTCGGCAGTGTATTTCAGTCAGTCTGCCTGTTATGTTCACTGCTCTGTGTCTGGTGAATCCTCTCACCCCCTCACCTCTGGCCTACACCCCAGTTCTTGTATGCATAAATAAATAAAATCTTTAAGAGATAAAGAATCTAGGTTGGAGAGGGAATCAGAGGATCTGCCTGATGGACTGGAAGGAAAGGGAAGACTTTAGGAACTTTAGGAAGAAAATGGGTATAGTGAGAGAAAGGAGGTAAACAAGGTAATGACTTGGAAATTGGGGTCTAAGTGGTATACTACAGGTTAGGACTTCAGAGAAAATCAAGCAAGGCTCCAAGGGTAGTGTGAGACCCTGATGTGAAGTGGAATGGAGCTGAGTATCATTCAGCTCAGGTCTGGGAATCAGGAATGCAGTGTGATAGAAGGACCAGCCACATGCTGAAATCTCTCAGGAGGGCAGGGCATGCAATGAGGAGGGGAGTTGGAACTAGCTGCTCTTGACATGCCAAGAACATGCCATCAAAGACACAGGCAATACCTCTTTCCCCCGCTGGGGCAGCTCTTCCCAACATGCTCAGGTGGTTTGCTCGCTTCACTCAAGTGTCCGCTCAGATTTCACTTGCTCAGAGATACCTTCCTGATCAACTCTCCATCCCCTTGCTTAGACTTAGGGCTCTTCTCACCCCTTTTCATGTTCTGATGTTATGTGGTTATTTATTGTCTTCTCCAGTAGAAAAATCGGGGATGTCAGTGCCTTTTGTCCAGGAAGTACATG